CCCCATTGGACTAATCTGATTAATGCCCTCTTCTCTGTGGCCAAGGGAATTTGATGTTCTGATTGACTAAGTCTGACTCGGAGGTGTAGTTCCTGGAACCCACAGTCAAGCCTCTCTGAAAACCATATGCTCTGAGATTGGAGGAATTGTGGTTCCTTGAAGGAAAATTTAGGGGTTTGCCAAAAGAGGGGTAAAATGGATACTGCGTACACAAGAACGCCATCTGGCCACTTCAGTCTCCAGCAGCTCCCAGAAAAAGGCTCGGTAATGGGGCCTGTGGGGCAGACTAGATTGCATTAACATGGTGCTGGTTCTGTCCAGGTCCTCGGGACACTGGCGTAGATGCTGCTCGGTCTCAGCCCCACAGACAGGATGGGAGCTGGATGTCTGGGTGATTGACGTGAAGGCTGCTCTCACAGCCTCACAGCCACTCTGCTCCAGGGGACCCCATTTGTGATTTGTCAGTAATGGGTCTTCTCCCTTGGCTTCCTCAAGCTATTTTTCTCTCTCTGATATAAAAATAACACTTCAACAGGATCCTGATCCCATGTCCCAGACAAATCAGCTATCCAGAGATAACAGCCAAATTCACCCTAGGGTCAGGGTGCAGTGTCCCTATTACACCCAGTTTTGAGAGTGAGCCAAGAAGCAGGGTTTCAAGAAATATGACACCATAACCGGAGACTAAAATCCAACACCCAAGGAGTATCTATTTCCCAACCAAAGCCAGTACTTTCCACTGATTCGTCCTGCCAAAGAGGATGAGTAGGGCCGGGCTGGCCGCAAGAGCAGGCGTGGGGCTCTGTGAGGCAAGGAGCAGGGGCAGCGCAGAGATCTTCTGCTTTACAACCACCAAATCACAATGACCTTAGTGTTGAGCAGCGCTGGTGTCTGCCCGCAGCTGGAAGCCTCCTCCATCCCACCCTTGTTGTGGCCTTGAGATGACTACTGAGGAGTCAGAGCTTTCAGAGCCTTGTAGCTGGAGATCTAGGGGGCCTGGAAGCAGGTGCCGAGCTAACAATTATAGTAACCACTTACGGAGCATGTTTCACATGCCAGGCCTGTGCCTTACTTACATTAAGCTGGGTGGTTAAGAGTGTGGTGCGGGAGTCCGTAAGCACTGGATTAGACCCTCGGCTCCATCACACCAGCTTTGAGATTTTCCTCAAGTTACTAAATCTCTCTGTGCCTCGATTTTTCTCATCCGTAAAATTATACTAATAACAGTATTTACCACTAGAGTTGTGAGGGATTACATGGCATACTGCTCACACCGTGTTTTGCAGGGTCTGGTAGATATTAAGCACTGCATCATTATATGCATTTGTAATTTCTAACCCTGCCCCCATCCTGCAATGTAAATGCATTAGTTAGAGAGAGGCTTGGCTGCTGTAGCAGAGGGTCGATTTGTCAACGGCTTAAACAAGATAGAAGTTTATTTCTCTTTATAACATAACAGTCCAGAGGTAGCCAGGCCAGTATGGGAGTGGGGAAGATTCTATCATTTTCAACCTGCATCTCCCACCCTTGGGTTCCAATGGCTGCTCCAGCTCCTGCCATCTTATCATAATTCCAATCAGTAAGAAGGGGAAAATCTTCCTTTAAGGTTGCATACAATGTTGCTGCTCAGATCCCATTGGCCAAGCTGAGTCACACGGCAATGCTAGCTGCAAAGGAAGCTGGGAAATATAATCTTACGCTTAGCTAAAATTGTGGGGATTTACTAGTAGAGGAAGAAGAAGGAGAGAATAGACACTGCTCTGCCAGAGCCCACCGGCTGGCCACCCCTCACAAAGAACACATTCAGCATCCCTCGAATGGAGGCAAGGCAGGGTCCCATCCAGACACAGCACAGCTCAGAGCCCAGGATCTCTGTGGGACCGGGTGTGGAGGGGGTCCTCATGGTCTAGTGACTATAAACCGAAAGGCAGGAAATGGGGCCCTTCCACTCCCCGTAGACACCAGTGGAGGAGGAACAGGATGAATAAACTCAATTAAAACATCCACTGGGAACAGGAAAGCACGGCAATCCCCCGGCAGTCACGGGATCTTAACAGTTTTGCAAATTGCAAAGCTGCTTCCCCCCAAGTGGAGTGAGTTCTTGGGCAACGCATCTGGCCGCCCCTGGTTCTGCTCTCTGGGAGGATCTGCCCTTTCTGCTCTCCTATGTGGCCTCTGGCGTGGACTCCTGGGAAGTTATTCCTCACCCACTATCCTCTGGGGCTGCACTGGAGACCATGTCCTTTCTTCTTGCAGACCTTACAACTTGCACAGCTCTCTTCCTGCTGGTGCAGATTTGGGGTGTTGGGGATAACTGGGGGCTCAAGCCAGGCTTTGCAGACCAGGTGTATGGTTTCTTTGCCAACACAACACCCTCGAAATCTTAGAAGGCTTCTAATTGGTTCCATATTTGAGTAACCACAGCCAATGGACTCATTTGACATATTTTTTATGCTTGAATACTCTGGACTTGGTGAACTTTCTAGTCTCTCTCCAAATTCTGTGCCTCTCTTGAGGCCATCTGAAAAAATATGCTTGGCTGTGAAGGGAACTCCCTTATTCTGCCCACTGGGCCGGCTCCTACTGTCTCTAAACAGGGTGCGCTTAAGAAAGTTTTGGGACCACAGGCACAGTCCTTGCTACGACTGTGTCTTCCAAACCACCTCTCAAAACCAGCCTGCGTGCATCTCGCTTGTAGGACTTTGCTAGTAGCAGTAAGCAGCAGGCAATACGCACCAACGGTCCGAGTGTTTCCATTCAATTTCTGTGAGTTACAGGCTCTGTTAGCATATGATCACCTCTCAAGGCATCATAGATGCCAGACGTGCCGTTTGTTTTGCTATAACAAAGCAATAGTCACCAGCTTACCGGCATGCAATATTTTTCTTTGCTACCTACTGTTCCGTCTCTGAACCAATACCACTTGTTTTAAGCTTTTAAAAAAGTGCCGCTTCCCGATACCAAATTCTACGTTAGTTAGGATATGTGTTTGGTTGCTGTAACAAAAACCCAATTTAAGAACGACTTAAACCAGAAAGTTTATTTCTCTCTCATATAATAGTCTGCAGATAGTCTAAACCCAGTAGGGTGCCTCCAAAACTCTCAACAAGCATCTTTCATCTTGAGTACAAGGTAGCTGCTCTAGGGGCCGGCCCCATGGCCTAGTTAAATTCGGCATGCTCCACTTTGGCAGCCTGGGTTCGGTTCACAGGCGCAGACCTACACCACTTGTCAGCAGCCATGCTGTGGTGGCGACCCACATACAAAATGAAGGAAGATTGGCACAGATGTTAGCTCAGGGTGAATCTTCCTCAGGAAAAAAACTATAAAAAAAAAAAGATAGCTGCTCTAGCTCCTGCCATCACATTAGCATTCCAGACAGCAGAAAAGGAAAAGGAAGAGGGGAACTCATGCCTCTTTCTTTTAAGGTCTGACCTGAAAGTTGTTCACATCACTTCCCCTAACATTGCAATGGCCAAATTTAGTCACAAGGTCATATTTAGCTGCAAGGAAGATTGGGAATCTAAGTCTTTATTACAGGCAGGCCATTCCAGCTAAAATCCAAGTGATTCAAGGAAGAAGAGAAAAACAGATACCGGGAGGCAACTGGCAGTCTCTGGCGCAGAATGTTTTTATCCTCATTTTACGTTCGTGGAAACAGGCTCAGAGAAAACAAGCAACGCTTTCCAAGGTCATATGGCAAGCAAACCACAGAGCATGAATTTAATCAGGTCCATCTGACCCCAAAACAGGCTGTCCATCATATCCAGCCAACATATTTTGGTCATCAGGGTGCCTGCTGTTTTACTTAGAGACAAAAGATATTGACACGTGAATTGTTATGTAAATGCCAGCCCAGCGTACACTGAGACATACACACAGCACATGCTCTACAAGGAGAATGGTGCAGTGAGGGGGATACGATCAGGGAAGACTTTTTCTTTTTTTTTACTGAGGAAGAGTGGCCCTGAGCTAACATCTGTTGCCAATCTTCCTCTTTTTTTGCTTGAGGAAGATTTGCCCTGAGCTAACATCTGTGCCAACCTTCCTCTATTTTGTATGTGGGATGCCACCACAGCACGGCTGATGAGTGGCGTAGGATCTGAACCCTCGAACCTGCACTGCCGAAGCAGAGCAAGTCGAACTTAACCACTACACCACGGGGCCAGCCCCCAGGGAAGACTCTCTTGAAGAGGAGCCCCTGCTACTGTCCTTGTAGATGGAGCATGTCTGAGGTGGAGGGGAGAGTGGAGTATCGCAGGAGAAGGCAGTCGTGTGAGCTGAGGCTGTTCTGTGTCTGGCTTGGCTGTGAAGGTGGCCCAGAACATAAGGGGGTGGGGGCTTTCCAGGTCTGATGCACCGCATATCTCCGGGCATGGTCCACTTGATCTTTCCACCATTTGAGGTGTCCTATTAGCTGTGCCTTAGAAGCTTCATCATCCGGGACCAGGCAGGAACAGGCCACAGGGACGCTGTGGAAGGAGGGCTGCATTCACCCCCATGCTATCCAAGACACACGTGGAAAAGCTAAGTCCCTTCCCTGCTCTGTCCTCCTCCACGCTCCCCAGAGGCAGGACAAGGGCTTTGAGGAATGGTGGGAAATATGTTCAATAAATTCAGCAAGAAATCCCGTAATTCATTACTGAGTGGCTGCTCCAGGGCCAGAGCCTGGGATGGAAGAGGCTGGAAGGAGGGGAGGACGGGAGGGGCAGAGAGAGGGAGCTGGAGCAGCTGGGTCAGCAGCATTCCTGATTTGGACATTGACTCAGGCCCCAGGAATGCCAAGGAAGGGGGGCGGGGGCAGCCGCCAGAGCCGGGCAGGGATCCTGTTGGCACGAGGAGATACAGGGACAGCACAGAGTGCGGGATGGGGGAACTGGGGCTCCTGCACACCTGGCCCAACCTCCAAACCACAGGTAGAAACAGGTGTGTCTCCCCCTGTGGACAATCGCAGGCCCCAAGCCCTCGAGCACACCTCTAAGGTGATCCTCGCAGCTCCCCACCCGCCCGAACCATCCCCCTCCAACGCCTCCAGCAGAGAGAGGGACTGTCTCCTGGGACTCAAATGGGGACATCTGGACACACACTGGCCACTCTCCCGGGACCACCCACAAACCCCTTATCCCCACCCTCCTAGCTGGCTGCAACTCGCCCTTTCTAACTGCAGCAGCACCCAAGACTGAAGTTTGTACAGGGAAGAAAGTTGAGGTCTGTCTGCCTCCATTTTCCCCCCTCTGGCGCCTGACAAAGATGAGAGGCCCTCTGGGGGGAACTCAGGACCCTGAGAGCCCCCTCCTGCCACCCCAGTGCCCTCCCCATGCTCCAAGCCACCTCCCCCACAGCAGGGGCCTTCTCGCTTGTCCTGGGAGACCCAGGAGGCAGCCCAGGACCGGGCATGGAGATGCCAGGTGCGCCCCTTCCCACCCCACCCCGCCCCCAGGCTGCTGGTCTGGAGCAGCTGAGTGGCTGGACCCTCCTTCCCGCCGTCTGACACCCAATCAGAGCGAAACCGATCTGGGGAGGGCAGAGTGCCAGGGGCCGGGCCCAGAATAGTGCTGCCCAGCCACCGTGTCCCACACTTGCTCTCCGTTGATCCTGTTGGCTGCATGGAGCCAGAGCTGGAGCGTGCACTATGCGGGGTACAGGGGTCCCGGGGGGCCGGAGCTGGGCAGCTGAGGCCAGAGGACTGAGAGCACACCACACCGTGTGAATGCATGCGTGTGCGCGCGCGTGTGTGTGTTTGGTCTGGATTTTCTCTGTGCATATGAACATGTGGGTGTCCGTGTGTGTATATTCTTTAAGTGAGTGAGTGTATGCGGTTCTGTGTGTGTCTGGTAAGGGTTGAATATGTGTGTTTCTGAGTGTGTATAAGTGTTTGTGTATGGATGTGTGTGTTTATGTGTGTTTGTGGGGGGGGTGTTTACATGTGTGTGTGTTTATGGTGTGTGTGTGTTTGTGGGGTGTGTGTATGAGTATGTGTTTGTGGAGTGTGTGTATGGGTGTGTGTGTGTTTATGGGGTGGGAAAGGAAGGACCTGTGGTTTGGGAACAGAGGACATTGTCCCCACTCCCTCAGACATTCTTCTCCCTACAGGCCCCATCCTGGAGCAGCCTTGGGGGACCTGAGCATCAGGGTAGGTGGGGCTGCCCCCTCCTTGTGGGCCCAGCTCTTCTCCCACTTCCTTTGTCCCCCACCTCTCTGGGCCCCCTTCCTCCCCGACTCCACTAACCAGCCTTTTGTCTTCCTCTCCTTCTCCGTCTTTGTTCCTCTTTGTTTCTTCTTCCTCCTTTCCCTCACCTCCTCCTTCCTCTCTCGGAAGAAGAGAGGGGGGATCTAGAGTCTGAAGACTTGGACCCAGCCCTGACTTTATCACTTACTAGCTGTATGATTTGTGGCAAATTGCTTAACCTCTCTGATCTCAGGTCCCTCATTAATAAATTAGAGATAATAGTAATGCCTTCCTTATAAGATCACTATGAGGTTTGAATGAGAAATGCATTGGAGAAAAGAACCTTTGGAAGCTTGCAAATGTTAAGTATTATTATTAATAACATTTTAATTGATTTTGTTGTGTTACTCCCTATTAACCAAATGGGCCCCATTCCCCCTTCCAGAGATGAGCTTCCTAGAGCAAGAAGACAGCATTTCATGGCCATCACCAGCCATGACCACCAGCTCAGAAAGAAATCCTGGGAAACAGGGGACTGAGGCCTCAAGATGGACAAAGCAAGAGGCTATGGAGGCGGGGGAGCTGCCAAGCCCGGGGGAAGGTAAGACCAAGACCAGTTCTGGGGAGATGGGAGCAGAGGAAGTGGGAAGTCCCGGAGCCTGGGACCAGGGATCCCTCCATACACAGAGGTGGACCCAACCCTCATCTTGTGGGTTTGGGCTCAGTCTCCCCATCTGGGGGAGGTCAACTGCTTTGTAGAGCCAGGGGCTCAGCACGGCCAACTCAGAAAGATGGGACAGAGCCGCTATCTGGTGTGACTCTCTGAGACTCACCTGCAAAATGGGGGCCCCAGCATCCAGGTTACCCAAGGCCGCTGTGAGGATGAACTGAGACAGTAGATGAGAGAGTGTTTTGGAAGATGGAGTTACTGTGCTCTCCCCCGAATAGGTCCACAATCCAGGCCAGCTGCTGAATCCACCGGGCTGGAGGCCACATTCCCCAAGGCCACACCCTTGGCCCAAGCTGCTCCCTTGGCCAGAGTGGACACTCCACCAACAGAGAGGGACATCCTTCCCCCTGACTGTGCAGCCTTAGCCGTTGGCTCGAGCACAGATGATCTGGATCTGGGCATAGAGTTCTCAGCCACAGCAGCCTGGGGGTGTGAGCTCGGCCTGGTGGAAGAGAGGCCTGCCCGGTGCCCATCCCCGAAGGACCTGTTACCCAGGCTGGGCTGGGACGATGAGCTGCGGAAGCCAGGGGCCCAGGTCTACATGCACTTCATGCAGGAGCACACCTGCTACGATGCCATGGCAACCAGCTCCAAGCTGGTCATCTTTGACACCATGCTGCAGGTGAGGCCACCACTCGCCCCACCTCCATCCTGATGGCACTGCAGCCTGTGTCACATCCTCAAGGACACCCTGCCAGGCCAGGCCCCCTGCAAGATCCCTTCCAGGACTCCTTCTTAGAGTCATGGAGACCAGTGCGGGGAGAGCTTCTACTCTCTCCTCCCCAAAATTGTCATGGCAGCTCTGCCACTTATCTCTGTAGGATCTTGAGTTGGTTACTTTACCTTTCTCATCTCTAAAATGGGGATAGGAATGCCCACCTTGCCCTACAAGTTTCAGAGGACTCCTGGGACAACCCAGGATAAATGGGAGCACTTTGCAAAGCCCTGAAGTACGTGGAAGATCTGGCAGGGTGACTTAGGACAAGGAGCAGGGGACTGCCGGTAACAGAAAAACAGGATGCGTTCTGGTCCCTGCTCTTCCGTTGGGCTGAGCTACGAAACACCTGATTCCATTCTTACCATCGTGTATAGCAGAGCGGTGTTGCCCAAAGCATGGCGTATGTATCGTCCACGGGGCACAATTTGATTGTAGTGGTATATGAACAGATATATTTCTTTTTGGAGCTTTGTATTTATTTTAATATGTATTAGAAAAATACAAGCAGCACCTATAGATAGTATTGCTTAGGATGAAGCTAAAATGAGTCAATGTAAAATTTATTTAGAGAAAAATGTTTTGTAAATATTACATAAATCATTACCAGCCCCAGTGGTCTAGTGGTTAAGATTCGGTGCTCTCCCCACCGCGGCCCGAGTTCATTTCTGGTCAGGGAACCACACCACCCGTCTGTCTGTTGGTTGTCGTCCTGTGGTGGCTGCGTGTTGCTGTGATGCTGAAAGCTATGCCACCAGGATTTCAAATACCAGCAGGGTCACTCATGGTGGATAGGTTTCAGCGGAGCTTCCAGACTAGACAGAGTAGGAAGGAGGACCTGGCCACTCACTTCCGAAAGAAATTGGCCATGCAAACCCTGTGAATAGCAGCGGAGCATTGTCTGATAGAGTGCCAGAAGGTGAGAGGATGATGCAGAAAGACTGGACAGGGTTCACTCTGCTGGACACAGGGCCGCTAGGAGTTGGAGTGGAGTCTATGGCATTAACAACAACAAAAATGTAGTTAAAAATACCTCTAGTACTTAGATTAGCAAAAACTATTCTGTGTGTGTCCACACACATATGACTTCAGGGTGGAAATACTGAGTTAGTTTCCCACACCTTGGTGTGCCTGCTGGAGGGGTCATCAGGGTAGCAAATGTGGGTGACAAGGATCACGTCTAGGGGGTGCCATGACGTGAGAAAGGCAGGCACGTGGGACAGGGTACCACTGAGGGGCAGTAAGAAACTCACCCTCGACTGTTCTCCCCGGCCCTCAGATCAAGAAGGCCTTCTTTGCGCTGGTGGCCAACGGCGTCCGGGCAGCACCTCTGTGGGACAGCAAGAAGCAGACTTTTGTGGGTGAGGAGGGGAAAGGAAAGGAGGGACCTTGTGAGGCAGTTCTGGGGCTGAGCTCGAATGCACCACAGGCTCAGCAGACCCTTGGCTGAGCCAGTCAGGGGCCAGTGTGGGGGAATGTTTGAACCTGGTCTTGGGGTGGCCACCTGGGAGACCCCATCTGTGAAGAGTTGTGACCAGCTGACCCCTCCAGCTCTGCTACCCCGTGGTCCCATGTCATAGGTGCTAGGTAGGAAAAGAGGAAAGGGAGAGGAAGAAATTAGGAGAGTGGGAAAGGGGAGAAGGAGAGGAGTTACGTGGGAAGTGCACAAGGGAGAACCTCATTTCTCAAGTGTGGGAGGGGCAGCCCTTCTCCTCTTTCCACAATTCCCACCGTTCCCACCGTTGTCTCAGAACTGGGACCGCAGAGTCTGACTCCTCAACCTGCCTCCCACCACGGACCCCAGGCTGACCCCCTGTACCTCCCCTCCCAACCCCGCAGGGATGCTGACCATCACAGACTTCATCCTGGTGCTGCATCGCTATTACAGGTCCCCCCTGGTGAGAACCGAACTGGGAGTCCCGGGGGCACCCAGCTCCGCTGGGGCAGAGGGGAGTTCGGGGAGCTTGGTGCCCGAGGGGCTCACGTCTGATTTCTGGAGTCCTGTCGATGTCTCTAGGTCCAGATCTATGAGATTGAAGAACATAAGATTGAGACCTGGAGGGGTGAGCGGGCAGAGGGGACCTGGAAATGGGCTGAGGGTGTGTGGGTGAGCATGGGGGTTTTCTGGAGGGAGCAGGGGAAGGGTGAGAGGGAGCCCACAGGCTGGGGGCTGCCGGGTGAGGCGGGGCGGCCAGCTCCCTTGGACTGACCCGGCTTTTCCTGCAGAGATCTACCTTCAAGGCTGCTTCAAGCCGCTGGTCTCCATCTCTCCCAATGACAGGTAAGCGCGCCCAGCAAGTCACCTGAGCCTCCTTGCCCTGCACAGTCCCCTTGCCCAGCCCTTCAGTTCTGAGCTCACCAGCTCATCCTTGGAGACCAGGCAGCCTTGGCACCCCGTCCTCCTTTCTAGGGTGCTGGGGTGGGGGGTGTCTCTCCCCAGACTGCCCCAGGCTCACTGCTCCCACCTTCACAGCCTGTTCGACGCCGTCTACACCCTCATCAAGAACCGGATCCACCGCCTGCCGGTCCTGGACCCGGTCTCAGGGGCCGTGCTCCACATCCTCACACACAAGCGGCTGCTCAAGTTCCTGCACATCTTTGTGAGCCTGGGCGCAGCCTCCAAGGGCAGCCTGAGGGCTGAGAAGTCTTCGGCCCTAGGGGTGGGGGAGGGAGCAGCTGGGAGCCCTCTGGCGGCCGCTCCACCCTGATGCCACCTGTCTCCAACCCAGCAGGGCACCCTGCTGCCCCCGCCCTCCTTCCTCTCCCGCACCATCCAAGATTTGGGCATCGGCACGTTCCGAGACTTGGCCGTGGTGCTGGAAACAGCGCCCATCCTGACGGCGCTGGACATCTTTGTGGACCGGCGGGTGTCTGCGCTGCCTGTGGTCAATGAAGCTGGTACTTGCACCCAGGACGGGGGCTCTGGCTGGGGTGGGGTGGTGGGGAGCCGGGGTCTATGTGGCATTAGCTTGGGGCCGAGGGGGGAGTCAGGGCCAGAAGTGTCTGCCTGCCTGGAGCTTTGGACCAGCAACATAGCCTCTCTGTGCCTCAGTTTCCCTATTTGTGAAATGGGGGATCTTAATAACACCCATCCTCTGACTTCACAGGATGGCTTAACAGGGCTGTGTGCAATAAAATGAGCATGGCAAGAGGAAACAGCAGATGAGGTTTTTAATTTTAATTCATCCTAGCTGGGCCATGGCACCCAGCTAGATCTCAATTTCTTGCTCTGAAACAGGGTGAGAGGGACTACAACATCATTTCTTTGGTTGAACCATGGTTGTAAACCATTCCAAAGTTAAAATCGCCACCATGAAGCTAGAGATCAAGAAGTGTTTTAATCTATTTTTGATTATGAAAAACTTCAAATGAATGAAAATGGTAGGAAAAAACTCTATAACGAACCCCACACACCCATTGCCTGGATTAACTACTGTTAACATTTTGCCATAACCAGTTCTTTTTTTTTTTTTTTTCCTGAAGTAATTTAAAGTAAATTATATACATCATGTCGTTTCACCCCTTAACACTCAGTCTGCATCTCTTAAAATAAGTATATTTCCTATACCACCTAACAAAATATAAATAATTTGTTAGTATTACCTGATAGCCAATCTTTATTCTCATTTCCCCACTTTTCCCCAAGAATATCATTTTTAACAGTTGACTTGTTCAAACTAGGATCTAATTAAGGCCCCTTTTTTTTTTTTGTGAGGAAGATCAGCCCTGAGCTAACATCCATGCCAATCCTCCTCTTTTTGGTGAGGACGACTGGCCCTGGGCTAACATCTGTGCCCATCTTCCTCCACTTTATATGGGACGCCGCCACAGCATGGCCTGACAAGCGGTGCGTCGGTGCACGCCCGGGATCCGAACCCAGGCCGCCAGCAGCGGAGCACACGCACTTAACCGCTACGCCACGGGGCCGGCCCTAAGGTCCATATTTTGCCTGTGCTTCTTTTGTCCCTTATGTCTCTTTTAATCTAGAACATTACCCTCCCGCTTAACTTTCATGACATGGATGAGATGGAAGCTGGGTCAGTTGTCCTACGGACTGTCTCACCTCCAGATTTGTCTGCTTGCTTCACAAGTGGCTTTTCCCTTGTTCCTCTCTTCCTGTTGCCCGGAAACCAGAAATTAGACCTCAAGGCTTGATCGGATTCAGGCTATACATTTGAGGCTAGCATATTTCCAAGATGATGGTGTGTACTCCTCGTATGGCATCAGGAGGCGTGATATCGGGCTGTCTCTCTCTCTCTGATGCTAAGATTGATGCATGGGTTCAGGTGGCCTCAGCCTGATGCCTCATTACAAAGCCAGTAGCCTGGGGCAGGGGTGGGGGAGGTCAAGGAGTTCATCCCAAAACCTGCCCCCGGCCCTTGCACAGCATCCTGCTTCTGATCTGAACCTCTTCCCCATCTTTCTCTCACTATCATCCCCACCACTGCAGGACGGGTCGTGGGCCTCTACTCCCGCTTCGATGTGATTGTAAGTGTCTGTGGGGAAGGGAGGGGAGCGAGGGTGCCGCAGGGAGGCTGCGAGTGTGAGGATCCATGGGGGGAGGGTGTTTCTGTGGACCAGGGGGGCCTTTACAGCTGTATAGGGAGTGTTATCTGCAGGGCTGGAGCCCGGGGGTAAGGGGTGGGGGGGCGGTGAGGACTAAGAGCCGTACTTCCTTCCCTGCCCCAGCACCTGGCTGCCCAGCAAACCTACAACCACCTGGACATGAGTGTGGGAGAGGCACTGAGGCAGAGGACAGTGTGTCTGGAGGGAGTCCTTTCCTGCCAGCCCCACGAGAGCCTGGGGGAAGTCATCGACCGGATTGCCCGGGAGCAGGTACCCACGCTCCTTCACGCACGCTCCCAACACGTATGGCCCAGTCCTTCCCACGAGCAACTGCAGCTATCCCTGTACATCGGGCATCCGCCCTGTCCTCCCATTTCATGGCCAAGCTCTTGGCGTCCACACTGGTCTGCAACTGGTCCTGTCCATGGCGCCCTCGTGCGGAGGGCCACAGCCAGCTGATCGCCCCAGAGTGGTCAGAGCCACCCCAGCTGGTTTCTTGGAGACACTTTCTTGCTCCCCTGGTTATGTCACATTGTTGCCTCTGATTCTTGGCTCATTGGCTGCCATAGCCGTGCCCTCACTGTCCCTCTGTGTACCCACAGGTACACCGGCTGGTGCTGGTGGATGAGACCCAGCACCTCCTGGGTGTGGTGTCCCTCTCTGACATCCTTCAGGCACTGGTGCTCAGCCCTGCTGGCATCGATGCCCTCGGTGCCTGAGAATATCCGAGTCCTCACTCCCAGCCCACTTTCCACACCCGGAAGCCAATGGAGGGGGCCGGGGAACTCGGCCTTCATCTTCCCCCACCCCCATCTGCTGGTTCGGCTCTGGTTCAGGTAGGCTCTGCCCTGGGCCATTTGCCTCAGCACCAGCCCCTCAGTCTTTCTGGGCTCCCAGATCTCGGGTTGGGGCCCCCTGAGAATGAGAGGGGCCCAGCACACAGCTGAGTAGTCCCGTGAAAAGTACAAGTGTCAGGATTCACTGTGGGGCCACCGCTCTGTCCCATTCTCAGCTGAAGTCATGGAAGCCATCATAAGAGAGGTGGACAGGGGCTGGGGTGAAGGGAAGGGCAGTGATGTGACTTATGTGCTCTGGGGAGACTGACCTGCCTCTCGCCTGCTCGGAATTCCACTGGAAGGAAGGAAGTTAATAAACCTTTGTTGAATGGAATTCCCATGCTCAGTAAGAACTATGGCTGAAAGGAGGAAATTTCTATCTAAGTACTCATTTTGGTAAATTTGACGTGATCTCAGACTCTTTCCTGGTAGCACATTTGCTAGGGGTTTGCAGAAGGGTGGGGACACAGATTCCACCCATGTGGCAGTGGATGGCAAGACTGAGGTTCCCCTATTGGAAACGCAACCTCCACTCTCCACTGAGTCACCGTCTTCCCTTCTGTCCTCCTCACAGGCTTCTCCAGCCCTCCCTCACTGCCCTTGCCCTGCCCATACTCCCAGAAGCCCTTGGGAATGCCCAGTGCACCATGGGATGATGAAATTAAGAACAGCTGAGTCAGCCTGGAGATCCCTGAGCCAGAGGCACTGGCATTACCCCAGGGCCGACTGCTCCACGCCCACCCACATCGCTTTCCCCCCACCTGGGTTGTGACCAGGCCCAGTGGGGCGATGAGCCCTCAGCCCATGGGTTAGCCAGGGGATCTGGATTCCTCAGCTTCTGGACTGCCTGTCGGTCATGCCCCCAGCTCCTGGGAGTCCCAGCTGTTCTTCCCCCCTGGGAACCACCTTAGTGGTCCCCCACAACTTTGCCACTGCCCTGCTCCTCTCCCGGCATTGTCATTTCAGGGCTGCTGGGGGTCACTACGGAGCGGCAGTTATCTGTAGAGCTGCCTGTTGGAGTGAGGTCCCCCTCCATTCTCGTCCTCAGCTCTCACCAGCAAACAGCATTCTCAGTCCCCAGGGATGGCCCTGTATTTGGATCACTGAGGACGCACGATCGAGAAAACAAAACGAACGACCCACAAACTTGGATTTTATAAGTTTCACTCAGAAAACGCTACAGTCATTTGACCTGAACTTGTGGCAAGATCCCTGTGCTTGCTGAATTCAAAGACACGAAGGACAATCTGTCATTGATGAACACCACAAGGGCAGTTCATTTGCACATAGAGTGTTATTCCACCGAAATTTCTTTTTCATCTTTTATTTATAACAAAACTGTAAAGAAAATGTGAATTAGTTTCATCGTAGGTACAACTCAGTTCACAAACTCTAATCTGCAAGAAATGTAACTTTAGTTTTCTAACGTTGAATATAATTTCTATTATGAACCCCATTTCACCAGGTCGTAGAAATTAATCTCAGTCAATTTGAGGTCCCCTCCCGCCTTTTCCTGGGGTTAAGTTTCAGGGAGGGGGGCAGCTTGAGGTAGCATAAGACTGTTCCTCAGTCAGCATCATCCATCCTTGCCAGCACCTGCTAAAACACCCCCGCTCCCATCCAATTGTCACTTGGTTGGTCATTGGTGGGCGTGACCTCTGCTAGGAGCTCCCTCACTCCCTACCACGAAGCCTCTTTGGGCCTGCCTGCTCTGGGGGCATGAGCTTATTCTAGCTCCTGCCCTGCACCCCTCCGGGCCTCAGGAAGCTCTGTGGGGCTGTCCTGTCTGCTGAGATGGACAGCAAGTAGCCTGTCCTACTCTGCGCCTTGGGATTTTCCCAGCCTTTACCCAGGAAACATGGGCCCCAGGGCTCTTCTATCCTTACCATCTCCAAACCTATCTGGGGGATTTGTCATACTCCCCCCTCCCTTCAGACACAGCTCCCTTCTCAGAGCCCTCTCCTCAGGGACCCCAGAAATGTCTACACTCTCTTCACTCCCCCAACTGCCACCAGCCTATGGAACCTTTACCCAGTGGGGAAAGAGAGGGCCTTTTTCTCTAACCCATCATATCTTCCAAATCCACTGTATGTGTCCTGAGTTCTTGCCACCCACTTTGAGGTCAGGCTTTTGAAATCCCAAAGCCAAGACTGGGCTTCTGCTGTCTCACCTGTCCCCAGTGGCAATGGACACTGCAGGTCTAGCTGCCCAGTGGGGAGAGGGTAGATTAATATTTCTAAAATATGATCCCACCCCATTTACCTCACAGAGCAACAGAGGGGAGACGTTTGCACTCGATGGGTCAGGCAGTAAATGAAGGCATTTTCTTGTACACACCCAGCTTCTGCTTCCGGTTTTGCCCTAACCCACCGGTCAGTGCTGGCTGTGCTCTGGCCCTACCTGGGAAGGTCCTGGGTCTTGGGCTCAAGTGCGAGGATGGGAGGGGGTGCTCTCTGGGCCTTTCCCAAGGGACAGTGTCCTTGGGGAGTTGGGGGCAGGCTGCCTCCAGCTGCGGCTGGCTCTAGGGAAAGGGTAGCAGGGTCAGTCTTTTGAGGCAGTGCCCCAGGTTGCTCTGCATGAGCAGAACTTCAGAGGTCAGAGCACAGGCTTGAGGAGGAGAGGGCAGCCTGAGGAAGGCACTCTTCCCCTGTTGAGAGCAGATAGGTCTCTACCCTCTGGGGCTCACCATCCTGAGGACCCAGCAGTTCCCCTCTCATGCCCTTCTGTGTGCGACCATCCCCCACTCCCCCACCCCCACCTCAGACCCCCTTCTCTGATCGCAGCCAGCCCACAGCCCTCAGCCCTCCAGCTGTCTCAGCTGCAAGAGGAGAGGCAAAGTGTTGTCATGGGGACTGCAACTAGCTCAGGATAAAAGGAGCACCCTTGTGTGAAACCTCCCTGCTCTCCCCTCTGCTCATACCTACGAACCTGGGGCTGCCCAAGTCTTCCAGGCACCACTGCCTCCCTGCCCCCAACTCCTCCCCCAACCTCTGAGGCCCGTCTGAGGTTCTGTGGCCTCGGGACTGGACTCCCACAGACTCCTTAGCTTAACCCGTCTCTCCTCACAACCATCTCAGTAGTTCTCAGCCCTGGATGTGCAGCAGGATCACCTGGGAAGCTTCAGAAAATGCAAATTCCACGGCCCCATTCTTAGAGGTACTAATTTCCTGATTTGGGAGTGGGACCTGGGCAACTGCATTTTTTTCTGTAGAAACTAGAGACTTACGATTAATAGCACATGATGAGCATGACAGCGTGCTGAGAAATAAGGATGCCTCTTTCTCATAATTAGTAAAATCATTTGTCACGTTATTGGGATTACCTATTACTTATTATGGCTAAGATCTACAAGAAGCACTGGCTAAGAGGGACGGCACAAAGCAGGAGATATACGATTCGTTAGCGTTCTTACTACTCTGCTCCGAAAAGTCCTTAAATACAGAAGACTTCAGTACAATGTCATGTATGTCCAGGATGACAATTGTCAAAGTTTCTATTGGATGTGCATATTAAAACTGGAATCATAAATGATGACCTGGAAATAAACTAATATTACCAAGCCAAAATACATTCAGAGCTAAAACTTCTATAGAACATGAGCCTGTAGACAGCCAGGAAATATTGGACACTCTGTCTATTTTTAGTCCCAGGAGTGCGGCCCTGTTGTTTAAGAAGACAAGCTGTTTTCTTAAAGTCTTACCCAAAAATATGGATCCTAATTTGGCCAACAAATTCAAAGTAGCTGGAACAGGAGTAACGAGACACGCCCCTCTTTTCAGTCAAAAGTGTATCTGCCGTGCTCAGTTAACGGCTACTGCTCTGCAATTACTCCACATCCTACCATTCGTTCCTTACAGAGTCAGGTCGGGGTGCGTTATCAGGGAGCCTCACTGAGACATCTTGCTTCACTGTGACTTATGGAGGCAGCCCAGAGTCCCTGAGACCCCAGACCCTGGAAGTGTGCCCCATCACTGGCCACTGATGGGCTCTGTGCCAACCTTCAAACCAGGGCTGCTGTCTTCCACCCTCCAGAGAGAAAGTTGCAAGGGAAAGAGCCCACGCTGTTCTGTCACAGCCAGCCTGTAGCTATTACACATGTCTGAATGAATCACTGTCAAAGAAAGTAATTTTTTGATTTACGTTAAATAAGTCTCGTCCAGGCATTGTGATGCAATAAAAACTGACAGAGGTCAATTTCAACTCCCAAGATAAGCAGAAGAACTTCATGTATACTTACCGTATATGCATTTTGCTGTAGGTTTATTATATTTCAATAAAAATCTTTTAAAAATTAAAAAAAAAAGAACCTTGAGTATAAAGAGAAATCTCTTTGGCCATGCTGTATTTTGTTTTTCTCTGTTGGGGGTAGGAGTCTTTGATTCTCTTCTTCCGCGAGCGGTGTCTGTGGGCTTTCCAGTAGCAGCCTCAGTGGGCAAGGTTTCATAGTGGTGTTAATAGCTCTTTGGCTCTTATATCTTGTCACTGATGGGGAAAAACTTTTTGGGGGGAGCCTGAAGCTGTGCCTACACCTCATCCAAATGTGAGGGCATACAGCCTGCTCTTGAATTAATCCTCACAAGGACATCATTGCTTCACCAATCTGCTCAGCTCTTGTTTCGGCTCTGCGTTTCCGATTTCTGATTGGAGGTTGGATTTTAGATCCTCCAGATGTACAGCAGGGCAGTGCTACCTTGGAATTTCCTGTGGTGCCTCTGGAGGTATTGCTTACATTGGCAGCTGTTTCTACAATCATCTTACCTAACTGTTCTTCATATTTTTTTTTCAATTGAGATATAATTCACGTACCATTAAATTCACTCTTTCTAAGTGTACAATTCAGTGGTACTTTGTATATTCACAAAGCTGCACAACCATCACCACTATATAATTCCAGAACATATTCATCACCCAAAAGAAACTCCAGATCCATGAACAATCACTCCCCATTCTCCCTTCCCCCCAGCTCCCAGCAACCACTAATCTAATTTCTGTCTATGGATTTGCCTATTCTGGACATTTCAGGTCAATGAAATCACACAAGAGGTGGCCTTTTGTATCTGGTTTCCTTTATTAGCATAATGTTTTCAAGGTTCATCCATGATGTAGCATGAATCAGTACTTTATTCCTTTTTCATGGATGAATAATATTCTATCCTGTGGCTATACAAGATCTTCATAGATTTTGATGTGAGATTAGCCTATAAATTCGTTAAAACTGAGCTGCAGACATGAATGCTGACACTCTTGGACAGCTGCTACAAAACCCCAATCCTGAGGCACATCACACAGACTTCTCCCACCTAAGAGCCAGCACTGAGGGGTTCAGTTCGCATGGCTTAGGCAGCTCATTGCCAGTGATATGAAGGAGCAGCACACTAAGAAAAGCAGAAGTCCCCTCTGGTTGACTCCGTGACAGAGATCCTAGCATCCTCCAAGCCCAGCCCCCATCATCTGCTTTTATAATAAGCTCTCACGGGTGAACCCTTTCACAGGTGGAGTCAAGCGCCAAGCCCTTATAATCAGGAATTCCTCCCAATTCTCTCCAGGTTCCTCTTCTCAATAAGGAAAGCTCCATATCCTCCCCTCTCCTTCCCTTCCTCCAATTCCAGTCTCTTCTCATTCAACAAACATTTATTAATCGCCTCCTAGGTGCTGACACAGAGTTAGGCACTGGGATCCACACTGAAAAGAACTTGATTTGTGACCTCCAGGGGTCTCACAGCCGGTTGGGGAGACAGTCGGGTCTACAACAGGGTGAACAGGCTGAGTCCTCAGTTCTATAAGAGGGAATGGGGGAAAGCACAAGAGGAAGTGCTCACACTCACCCAGAGAGGTCAGGGAAGGCTTTGCAGAGGCAGTGACATTTGAGCTGAGTCCTGAGAAAGAGCAAGTTCTCTGGGATGACATAACAGTTGGTGAAGAGGGTGTTCCAAGGAGAGAGGACATTAAGTACAAAGTATTGAGGCCGGAAAGAGCACAATGTGTTCCGGGAAATACGAGGAATTTGGGCTCGGCTGTGGAAGGGTGTCTGGGTGGGAGGATGGGGGGTGTGGAGGGTAGGGTGCCAGAACACAGAGTCTTTTGTTGTTGTTTTGTTTGGGGGTTTTTAGTTTGTTTTGGTTTGTTTTTAACACATTCAGCTCTTTGGAGAGGGCTCAAGTATGTAGACTCTGATTGCCAAATAGCTCTGAGATCCCAACTCAGGAACAGCCAGATGGAAGAGATGCGTAGGGCAAGGCATGGGGAAAGAGCGTGGAGCTCCCGTGCCCTCTCCAGGCGCTCCACACTCCCAGCACCTCCACGTGTTCACCCACCCGGAAGCTCCCACAAGGAGTCTCCTGAGCCACAGAAAGGACTTTGTGCTGTGCCTCAGGGCTGAGGGGAGTACTGAAGGATTTTAATCAGGGCAATGAGATGATTTTTTTAATGGGCTCAAAATCAAATCCCCAGAGACATTAGAAATTCGACTTCAGTTTTCTATGACTCAGCAGAAATTTATAACTGGGGCTGGGACTCTATGAGGCTCTGGGACTCACTGACTTTGCAAGTTTGTGGGATGGTAAACCAGACATCAATGCCAACCCACTTTCCTTCTAGTTGGCTTCCTGTACTGAAGAGGCTGGAAAGCTAAAAACTACAATCCCCGGACTCTCTTGCAGCTAGAGTTCCAGGCAGGACTTAGGTTCCCCTTCTCAGTTGTACGTGAGAGAGATTTAGAAGGTGATCATGAGGCAGGTGCCACACTTCTGCTGTTCCAGCTCTTTCTGCTGTCAGGGGCAGTCAAGGGAGTGGGAGGCTATCTTTTTGTTTGTTTGTTTTTTGCCACCACAGACCTGGGTGACAAGGAAGAGGACTAAGGCCAATAGTTGTAGCAATAGCTTCCCAACTCTCATCCTCTTGGCCAACATGGTATTCCCAGGCTTGTCAGCACCCTGGGGTGTGCTATTCCCTATTCCCATAGGCCTAGCCTGGAGCTCTTCCAACAATTTTTGTAGCACTTTACTGCCTATATCTAAGCACTTTCTGTTCAAAAGAGGGTGCCACTCTCAGTGCCTAGGGAATCGCTTTGCAACTCTGGCTCAGACAGGGCCTCAGCTAATGCCAAGTGAAGCTAAGTCTTCTCTGTGAGGTCTGGGAAGGCATATGGTATTCTCAGTTTCCACGGAGGGAGGCAGCTCTGCTTCCCACCAAGATTCCTGAGTGGGTAGAGGGTGTTCCCCAAATACAGAGAGGGCTTCAGATGCTGGATCATCAAGAAGAATGACAAAGGCCTCCAGTTATCAATAAAAGTCCCTTTATTCTATATTTCCCCCAAGCATAGCAATGTGAGAAAGGGATGGCCTTTCCTCTAAGAGGGAGATGCTCAACATGATAAAAGTCACAAAAGTTCAGGGTTCTGTAGGAAGTGCACTGAGTTTCTCCAACCTCTGGCATCTGGCAGCCCCTTTCTCTCTCTCCTCATCCAAGACACAGCAGCGGCCAGGAATTACCATGCCAGGGAGGGAGGAAGGGGGCTGCCCCAGGAAGGCAAAGGCCCAGCTCAGCACTGTCTCTGCAGGAAACGCACGCCCACCTTCTTATGGGGAACCAGGACGACGCGGGCTACACTCTTCACGTCCCCTGTCTCAGGAGACAGGACCACCTCATACTGCTGGAGCAGCTGGGAGGTAAAATGCACACATGGGGTGGTTAGATTCTGTGATCTCCATCCACTGCCCTCCTCTGCACACTCCCACCCTGTGCCTCCCTCCTCTCCTCCCCACAGCCTCCTTCAGCCCTCCCTGGTCCACACGCTCCTCTCCCCACTCACCCTTGTCAGCAGCAGCTGCATCTCCAGCTCTGCAATCCTGCGGCCCAAGCAACCCCGGATCCCATAGCCAAAGGGCACAGAGCCAAACGGGTGTTGGACCCCAAAAGTTTCAGACTGGCAGTTCCTCAGCCAGCGTTGGGGCCAGAAGCTCTCGGGCTCAGGGAAGATGCTCGGGTCCCGGGACACCACATAGTGGCACAACACAAACTGGGTCTGCAGAGGAAGAATGGGCTGCACATGAGCTTAGGGCTGTGGGGCATCCCTGGGAACCCTGGCTTTCTAGCCCTACTCACGTTCTTGGGGAAGAGGAAGCCACCAACTTCAACTTCCTTTTCCGTGATGATCCGGGAGTTTGTGGGGACCACAGGGTAGAGGCTGCAGGGAAAAGAAGGTGCAGGTCTGCCCCTGGATCCAAGAAGGGGCAAAGGGCCCACCCCTTCAACCTCACCTCTCTGGTCCCCAAGGCCCCTCTTCCGATCTCCCCCTGGCCCTAGCCCCAGTTAACCAGCACCCACTTCCTACTCCTGTGTCTGAGTCCTCCCCCACACACAGACCCTGTGCTCCCAGGAACAGTAGCCTACCGCAGGGTCTCCTTAAGCACAGCTCTGAGCAAGGGCATGTGAGCAAAGTCCTTGTACTGGGGCACCTGCCCTGCTGGCACCACACCCACCACTTCCTTGTGCAAGGCCGCCTGGGTCTCCGGGCTCTTCGAAAGGTGGTACAGGGCCCACGTCAGTGTGTTAGATGTCTGGGAGGTAGAGGGAGAGGAAGTGAGGAGGGATTCCTAGGAAAGAGCTCAGCTTGGTAGCGGGAGGGTGGGCGAGTGAGTGTGTGCAAAATGTGGGAGAAAAATTAATTAATGGGGCCCTCCATGCTGAATGTGACTCCACAGTGGGACGAGGACCAACGTGATGGAGAATCACACTCTAACACAGAGGAGACTGAATAGAGAGAGAAACCCAATAGGACAAAAGGGCTGGAAAGGGCTGGAAAACTTAAACAGAGCACAAGAGAGTTGGATTAGATGAGATGAAACTTCCCAGATGTCCGAGGGGCTCCAGGATGTGATGGAACCCCCCCTTACAAAAGGACCATTCCCTGCCTGCCTCCGCTGGACTGAATAACCCCCCCTTTTCCTTCTAGCTCTACATCCATGTCACAGAAAGAGAAGCAGGTACCTGGAGGGACAAAGATCAGGCTCAGGTGGGGGGTAATGGGGAATTGGTTCAGGATGGGAGCTGGGAGCCCCTGGTCTCTTCACCGGCCCCTCTCACGCACCGTGTCTACTCCAGCCAAGAGCAGCTCAGCCAGGCTGCCCATGGCCTCATGAAGACTGAGCTGTCCGCTGGTCAGCAGGAAGTGCAGGTAGCCAGATATCTGGACCCCCTCTGGACCCCCTGTCTGCAGCTGGGCCTCTATTTCCTTGAGTTTCTGATCAACCATCTTCTTCCCTACAGGGACAATGGAGAACAAGTCCAAGAACCAAGAGGTACTCCAATAGCTGGTAGCATGAGGAAGGACTTGGTCTTGGGAGAGGCTGCTAATGCACAGACCCTGGGACCCATCCCCCAACTTCCTTCCCTGGACTTCTCACCAAAAGAGAAGATGTTGTTCCAGCCATCCAGGTACCACTTCCAGAAGGGCAGCAGGGAGCGGGTCCACTGGGGGAGGAAGATGCTATAGACTGAGTTCCGGAACATGAGATCAACAGATCTGATGAAGGCCATGGTGTCCTGCGGGATGGAACGCTCCAGGCAGCCAATACGTTTCTCAAACAGGATGTAGGATATAGCTGGCAGTGCACAGAAGCCATCACAAGAGGCAGCGCCATGGCACACGGAATCCAGGGGGCTTTGAGGAGGAGGAGCACCACCTACCCCTGACCCATGTCCACCCACTTCAGCCCCTCTCCCAACAAGGGTACCTTCCAAGGCAAAGTGGTAGAAAAGGTGAGCAATGTCGGGCACCTGGTCCCCCGAGGCACTCTCCGCCCGCAGCTGGCTGAGTCGAGCCATGAGGTCGTCAATCACCTCATTCAGAGCATCCGTGTAGAGCGCAGCTTCAGCTGGCTTCAGCAGCCGCTGGTTCAGAGCCTGGCGCAGCCGGTACCAGGGCTCTCCTTCCCTGTGGAGAATGGAGGAGCAATACAAACGTAAGTATCGGATGGGGGGCAGATTAGATGGTATCTTCCCACCCTGAGACCCCTCTGGAGTCTAGGAAGATCTCAGACTACTCTATTTAGAATTATAGAATCACTAAACTTTCAAAGGACAGAATCTTCGAGTCACAAAACTTCAGAATCTCACTGGAGTGGAAGTGGTTAAAGTGGGTTAAAGTAGAACCAGATTGCCTAGGGTCAAATGACAGGTCTGATGATTACTGGCTGAATGACCTTAGGCAGGTGACTTAACTCCTCCGTGCCTCAGTTTCCCCTTCTGTAAAATGGGAATAATAAGAGTGCCTATCTTAGTAGAGTTGTTCAGATAATTAAAGTGCTTAGATCAGTAGCCTGGCACATGGTGAATTCTTAATGAATGTTGACTATGATTCTCTCAGGATGATACAACTCCAGAATCTTCTGTATGTGAAATGAGGAAGAGCTACAGTGGTTCCAGTCCCTTTGCATGGAGGATGAGGGATAAAGGAAGAGCAAATTAGGGTTCCTGGGGTGCTCAGACTCTGGACCTTCACGTTCTACTTGGCTCAGTGGGCCAAGGGGACAGGGAGACCCACCAGGCTGATGCCCCAGCCCTCTTGCCACAGCCATTCAGTAGGTAGTTGGGTACCCCACCCGGTTAGGCAGGGATGCTCATGTGGATGGGAACATGCTTCCCATAGGGAGGCTTAATGTTCAGGGGCTGTCCCCACCCTCAGCTGTCCCCCAAACCTGTCACCTTTCCTAAGCAAGCTGGGTATGGGTCAATTTTTGAAAAGCTAGTTGCAGAGTAATAAGTACAATTTGGTCCAATTTTAAGAGGAAGAGAGGAAACCCTACATGTCCATATGTATATCTGCATGTTTCTACATCAAGTAGGGAAGAACACACACCAAACTGTCAGGACTACTTAGATGGATGGGATGGGAGTGGGGGGGTGGGGAGACAATATTTTATTATTGGTATTTTTCACTAAGTATGACTTTTGATTTTTAAAAACCAATAAGGTGAGGCCAGCCCAGTGGTGCAGTGGTTAAGTTTGCGTGCTCTGCTTCGGCAGCCCGGGGTTCCCAGGTTCAGATCCTGGGCACAGACCTACGCACCGCTTATCAGGCCATGCTGTAGCAGGCCTCCCACATATAAAGGAGAGGAAGATGGGCACAGATGTTAGCCCAGGGCCAATCTTCCTCAGCAAAAAGAGGAGGATTGGCAACAGATGTTAGCTCGGGGCTACTTTTCCTCACAAAGGAAAAAAAAAACAACAAGGTATTTTAAAAAGAAAAAACATTAAAAAGTCTTAAGTCAAGGATCAGATTTTTTATTTTTAAAAATTATTTATTTAGGGCACCGGCCCTGTGGTGTAGCGGTTAGGTGCTGGCGCTCGGCTGCTGGCGGCTCAGGTTCAGATCCCGGGCACGCACCGACGCACCGCTTGTCAGGCCACACTGTGGCGGCATCCCACATAAAGTGGAGGAAGATGGGCAAGGATGTTAGCTCAGGGCCAGTCTTCCTCAGCAAAAAGAGGAGGATTGGCCTGGATGTTAGCTCAGGGCTGATCTTCCTCACAAAAAAAAAAAGAAAAAAAAATTATTTATTTAAATGAACCTCAAACCCCAAAAGTTTTCTTTAATACGTTGGGGAAAACCTGCAAAAGATAAACTAAAAGTGCTGCTGAAAAAGAAAAGAAAACCAGAATAGACCCATTTATTGGAACTTCAGGTTGTAGGTGCTTCTCCAAGAGTAAAACCCTCCCAACAGCAGAAATCAGATTTGCAGAACTGAAATGAGAGCATTTCCATGGTTGTTAAAATATTTCTTGGGGAAATAATGTTTTATATAATGAGATCTAATGTTAAAACAAAAAAACCCACATAGATTAGCAAAATAGTTTTTAAATATATGTATAGTATTATATATGCTACAGTATATTTAGGAAACTGACTTTAGAGTAAAAGAGTATAAATGGATCACCAAGGATGTACATCATGTTCAGCTTCAATCTTGAATCTGAGCCATCAAGGCCAGACGTTGGCTGACCTGATGAAACCTGAGACCCAAATCTTGCCCTCAGGGTCAGACATCAAGTTAAAGAGCTCTTGAAAACAGACATTCTCTATTCTCGCCCCAGAACTTTGAATAAAGGGCCCAGGAATTGTTTAAGTTCTGAAGGAACCAGGAAAAAGAAAGAAAAACATGCGATGGGAGAATGAATGTATAGGGATCAAAGACAGAGGGGATGAACCTTCTGGAAAAGTGTTTCCTTTCCAAAAGTGTCAAGGCAGTAAATTCTTGAATTCCAGAATCAGAGAGATCTATACCACCATTTGCTAGTTGTGTCACCTCTGGTGATGCAAAACCTCCCCAGGCCTCAGTTTCTTCACCTATAAAATGGGGACAATAATACTCTCTACTTCCTGGGCTTACTGTAAGGATACAATGAAATAATACAAGTAAAGGAACTAGACTATTGCCTGCCATGTCACAAACACATGGTTAGTTATTACCATTGTTACCACCACGAGAATCAACTTTAATCCCTTAAGAAGTGACTAATTTTTAAAAATAGTTCCCAAATTATGTATTGTATCCTTGTTGGATATAACTTCCATGGATGCCCGCCACACACAGAGATAGATGTAGGTTTCAGCCTTGTGTTTATACATAGAAAAGTTAAGATTATTTTGGCAGTGCCAACTGAGGTGAATAATTGGGAATCATTGGCCATAAACCATTGCTAATGCCACAGTTTGTAAGTGGATACATTACAGACTTCTTTTTGCTATAGTATGTTAACAGAGCTCCCAAAACAACGAATAGCTATTTATTTTCTCTAGTTGCTTGACATCCATGTTTTAAATTGAGCCCTCCCAACTAATATGGTGATGATGTTTTTTCAACTATAAACCGATATGACCCATTATGATTTGAGTCGGTATATTTTCAACCATACTGTAGAATAATGGAGCTGGGAAGGTCCTAGAGATACCACAGAGGCACTCCAGTCCAAAATTCCCATTTTACATATGAGAAACATAAGGCCAAGGAGGGAGAAATCATTCATTTTTCCAAAGTCATCCAATGTATTCGTGGAAAAGCCAACGAATGGTCCCTGGGCTTCAGCCCATCACAACCTGTCTGGACTGAGTATCAGGCTTGGAGGATGCAGGGAGATCCTACTCTACCCATTATCCACTGGCTACCCAGGGCCACTGTGCTTGGGCTTGGCCCTCAGAGGCCCTATTCCAGTCTCTTCAGGCCCCAGCTCACGTGGTGAGGGGCCCATAGGCCAGGCCATGCAGGTCCCGGTGCTCCTTCCATAAATCCATGTAGTCTCGTACTGGGTATTTGCCCTCTTGCCGCATCACTTGCTCCAGGAGTGGGGCACTGGCCAGGTTCACATAGAGTCGAGGCCCTCGGCGGGTTATCCATATTGGACCATACTTGGCCTTGTACCGCACCTGTGGAGTTCAACCAAAGCTGAATAACTGTGGCTCAGCCGGGCAGGCACTTCTGGGAGAGGAGACAGCATGGCGGAGTGTCCGATGGCCACACCAGAGCAAACGGGCTGGGCAAAAGCACATTGTGTAGGAGGTAGGCACTGGGATGGCCTGTAGTTCCAAAAGGAGAACACTGAAAAACATGTGCGCCCAGGAGTTAGAATACTGAGAGCAATGAGTATCTGGTGGACCCGGGGGAATTGAGGTCCTTGGAGGAATGAGATTTTGGAAAAGTGGGATAAGTGACAAACTGGGGTATGCTGAGGTGTAGATATTTGGGGTCCAGGGTTTTAGGGAAACCGAGCCTTTTAGTGCAGTATAGTAGAATGCCTGTGGCTCCTTCATAGAAGCATTTACATCTACTGTAGCTCGGTGTCAATGAGATAAAGATAAACACCTCATGTAGTCAACAAGAAAAAAGAAACACCAGGAAAAACAAGAAGCTGAATGAGAAAGTCAGGATCCAAATACGAAGAAAACTATGTGGTATAAATTTAAAAATAAATAAATATATAAAATTATTTGCTGTGTTATGTAATTCTCAACTATTTTATCTTAGAATTTCTAAAGCACTTGACAATTGATACGCATGGCATCTATGAAATTGATATGGCTACGATGTTTTTATAGTTGCTGAAAATGAGGGAGAAAATAAATATATTTTGGTTTTGGGTGGGTAAAACTTAAAAGAACTCACAAATACTGAGACTAAATTTACTGGCTAAGTTATACCTACAAACTGAAAGAAAATGAAACATAGTGGTTTCCCAGGGACTTCATCTTTCATAATCTGTTACTGAAGAGATTTTAAGAGGATCAGAATCTTCTCTAGAATAGAAATTAGGCCAAAGAGCATCTGTAAAAGAGACATTAAAATTATGGAGAAGAGATCTATCATTCAAATCACAGGAGGAAACTTCATCCGACTCATAGTCCAAAAAAGTGCCAGTCTTACTATTGGCATTAAAAACTAGATTCTCCTAGGATCAATGCAACATGATTGCCCGCAATATATTACCCAATTGCCCAGAATCCACCCTGAGTTAACGGCTGATTCCGCCAATGGAAGACAGCCTTGACAAACCCCCAACATCCATTTAGGCTCATTTCCCACTTTCACCTCTCGGTAATGCCTGTCAGTTTGGTATGATTTTGAACAGCTGATTGTCTATAAACTACACTGATTCCTGGAGAGAAAGAGACATATTCACACACTGCTGGTGGGAGTCTAAAACGACACAACCCTACATGGAGGACAATTTGTTAATATTTATAAAAATTACAAACACATTATAAATAAAGTATGGACCCCTACATAATGGAATACTATATAACCTTGAAAAAGAAGATGAAGCAGCCCCTTGTGTACTAATACAGAAAGATAGACAGATAGCCAAGGTAGGTTGTTAAATGAAACAGTATGGCATCTGTTGTCTAAGAAAGGGGGGCTAAATAAGAATATACAGCATTTGCATCTGCTTTTATAGAGAAACACTGGATTGATACATCAGAAACTAATTAAAGCAATTCCCTATGGGAGGGCGGAGGGGAGAGTGGTGGGAGTAAGGACTGTGCAATGTATACTTTGTGATATTGTTTTGAGTTTTGAACTATGAGAATGTATTCAAATTTTTTAAATCTAAAGGGAAAAAGAAAGAAAGTGTTTTCTGAAACAATAAATCATCTGCCATTCATCAGGTAATTCCAGAAAGCAGGAAAGCCTCGCTGAACCTCTGGATTCATGTATATACTCCTTAGATTTAGAAGTGGGCCCTAGCCATATTCCTTTTGTTTATTTTTCTTAAAGGCTCCATTTAAAAAAATACTTTACTTATACAACTATTTTTATCTACTAAAAGAATTATCCTGGGGCCAGCCCGGTGGCGCAAGCTGTTAAGTGCGTGCGCTCCGCTGCGGCAGCCCGGGGTTTGCCGGTTCGGATCCCGGGCGCGCACTGACGCACCGTTTATCAAGCCATGCTGTGGCAGCGTCCCATATAAAGTGGAGGAAGATGGGCACGGATGTTAGCTCAGGGCCAGTCTTCCTCAGCAAAAAAAAGAGGAGGACTGGCAGATTAGCTCAGGGCTGATCTTCCTCACACAGACACACAAAAAAAGAATTATCCTAAAAGTAAGCTTAATTTATGTTTCCAGTTTGGTTTAAGATATTAATAACATAATATTAATAATAATAATAGCAAATATTTCCATGGAGCTTAGCATACACCAGATGCTGTTCCAAGCACTTTGCTTATATGAGCTCATTCAGTACTCACTACAGCTGTATGAGGTAGATGTCAAGTTACCACAATTTTGCAGATGAGGAAACTGAGCCCCAAAGAGGTTGCCCAAGGTCACTTTACTGGTAAGTGGCAGGGTCAGGGTTCAAAGTCAGACCACCTGGTTGGAGGCCACGCTCTCAACCACTCACTCCGCTGGTTCTTGAGAAAACTGACTATGTCTTACTAACTGGAAACAAAATTAAGCCCTTTAAAAATATGTGCTATTTAAACCACCACAACTATGCGATGACCCAGGGTTATTGGGGCTGGGTAATTCTCTGTTGTGGTGGACTGTCCCGTGCACTGTAGGATATTTAGCAGCCTCCCTGGCCTTTACCCTCTAGCATTGGCCCCCACCCCAAGTTGTGACAACCAGAAAACCATCTCCAAACATTGCGAAAATGTTTCCAGGGGGCAAAATGACCCCAGGTTGTGGACCTCTGCAATAACCCCAACCCCTTAACATGTCTCTTAATTCTTTAACTTTAGAGGACTCTCTGTTTAAGAAATGATATCTCATTTCGAAGAAATGTTCATCTGAAGTTTGGTTTCTTTTTCTTCTGCTAAGTTCAAGTAAAATTACATGTAACGTTTTTATAAAAATGAAAACACTGGTTATCTCTGAGTCATGGCTCACAGTTTATTTTCTTCTTTATTCTGTGATTTGTTTTTCAAATTTTCTATCATGATCTTGTAATCAGAAAAAAAAACTTCATGCTTTAAAAGACTAGATCAATAACCATTTATTCAGTCGGGCACCAGCTTCTTCTCCGGCATCCAAAGCCTCTGGCACCACTTCCTGGCTCAGTTTGGAGGGTTCTGTGACATTTCCCTGTTTGCCTAGGCCAGGCTTTCTTGCCTCTTCCTCCGTATTCCTCTTCTCAGTTAGTTTACCTGGTGAAACTTAACAAGGATCTATTTATATGAGAACTTATTTTAGAAAGACACCAGAATACTTGCTGAGAGATGTGTGCTGTGTCTGCGAGCCTACTGTTAGGCTGTAACCTGAGCCAGTTAGAGAGCCCCAGGGTTGTCACATAGGTCCTGTCTGAGTACCACTTTGCAGAACAGAGTCCCCCAGGGATAGTCTTCCAGGATGAATGGGAGGGGTAGCTTCTACCAGGTGAGACTCCAAAGATGGAGAGTGTTGAATTCATTCACATTCATTTATTGAGCTCAGATCCTGTTCCTCCTCTACTGATCTAGGGCCCGGGATACAGCTGCGAGCACAGCAGAAAAGACCTACCCTTAGAGAGTCTGCATCCTAGTGCATGAGCCACACAGTGGAGAATTTGATTACACGTGCTCATAAATTGTTCTGCAATTATTTTACAGATGTTTTGTCTCTTCACCTAGATTGAAAATCTTTGAGGGCAGGAACCAGGTCATACTTCTTTATTACCTCTCATATTGTGTGACACATTGCCAGGCACATTATAGAGACTTAATAAATATTTGGCAGTTGTTGATGAATCAAGTGGGAAAAACAGTTGCAGAGAATATATGGGAGAGAAACAGAGACAGAGACAGAGACAGAAAGGAAGTAGGGAAGAAGATACATAAGAAACTGGTAACAGTGGCTCCACTGGAGTGGGCATTAGTTTCAAAAGCCTGGAAGTATAATGTGAAAAGGAAATTAAGAAAATAATTCCATTTACAACAGCATCTGTTATGGACTGAATGTTTGTGTCTCCCCAAAATTCATATGTTGAGGCCTTAACCCCCAATATGGCTGTTACTGCCCAACGTGGGGCCTTCTGCTCGCCGCAAGACATACCAATAGTCAAGAGGCAAGGTGGTAGGAGAAAAAGGACTTTTTTATCACAGCTTGCTAGCAAGAGGGAAGATGGCCAACTCATGTCCAAAAGAACCATCTTAAGGGGGCACAAAATCTTACAGCAGTTATAGAGGCCATTGGGTTATTGGGGAGGGGGTTAGGAATGTTGACCTTCTGGTGTTATAGACTGAGAGTGCCACACCAGCTCTTTCAGTTTTCACTGATGATGGCTATCAGCATAGATTCTCTGTTCGGGGGTCATCACATTCCTAAGGAACTCAAAAAAACGAAGTTATCATCTTATCACAGCTGGGAGGTACATGCACAAGCAGGGGTCGTAAAATCTACAGAGCAGTTAGATCTCCAGGAGGGTGCGTATCCAGGTGGGTTAGTTTGTCAGAGGTCATTCAAAGTTACAATCGAGTTCTTCTTTTCTACAATATGGCTTCCCTCATGTCAACCTTGTCTTGAGCCGGTATCATGGCTGTATTTAGAGATGGGGCCTCTAAGGAAGTAATTAAGATTAAATGAATGATTAAGATTAAATAAGAGTGGGGCCCTGATCCAATAGGATTAGTGCCCTCATAAGAAGAGATATCAGAGAGTGTGCTCTCTCTCTCTCTCCCCTCCCCCCCCACATACATGCCAAGGAAAGGCCATGTGAGATCACAGGGAAAAGGCAGCTGTCTACAAGCCAGGAAGAGAGCTCTCACCAGAAACTCAACACACTGGCACCCTGATCTCAGACTTCCAGCCTCCAGAATTGTGAGAAAATAAATTTCAATTGTTTAAGGCACCCAGTCTGTGGTATTTTGTTATGGCAGCTACAATAGACTAACACATAGCATCCAAAAGAATATAACACTTAGGGGCCAGCCCCAGCAGCCTAGTGGTTAAGTTCAG